TATATCATATTATTGAAATTATTTGTTACATATTTGTTGGAAACCTCACTGAGATTCATAAAAAAGGAGTTGGGAGAGGGCTTAAGGTGCACCTAGTAAAAAAAGTAACTTACAGTGAAATTGATGAATGCTGAAAAATTTTTCAAAACAATTCTTGAATCAACCGCTATTTGATTCTTTCAACCAAATTTTGAAATTCAGTGAATTTTTAATGTGTGAATATGTGTACGCTATAACACCAGCCCACCAATTTCAAGGATATGAATTTTTTTTTAAATTAATTCCATAAGACTTAACTCGAATAAAAATCAACAAAAGTTCCAGTGGGATGATAATCAACTAACAAATGGAATCGGAGATTCTGAGATGAGAATTTTTTCAACGAAAGACAGTGTTGCTTTCATAATTGTACACACCACATGAAATTTCATTGGATACTAAATATGTCTATGAACAAAAAATTGTTTCAATTCGTTTCTTTGACCTCAATGGTTGAGCAAGCATAATTATAAAGGAAAGAATATGAGCTCTGATAGTGATTTTAATTGCGGTCTATCTAAAGTCTTCTTATATGAGTTATTTTCTGCCAACTGATGGATATTATCTATCTCCTCTATTTGTACCTAATTAAATAGATTTTTGTAAACATATGGGAGGGCATCTCATTTACCACATGTATCGGGTCGATTGTCTCTTTTTTGTCAGTTGAAACGAACAAATAGTCAATATCTTCAATGGATTATTCTCTGAGAAAGAAATTACCATAGCGCGGCAAACACTAAAGGAGTGAGGAGTATCAAATTGGACTCTAACGACCTTGCTCTTCGAATAGCTAGACAAGAACTGCAAAAAAAAAGTTCCTATAACCCATCAAGGTAACAGTGAGGAAGGACTGGAGGTTACAAGCCTTTTTTATGACTGCATGGAACGCACACAGGCGTATCGATTCATAATTTCTGAGGTACACGTATATCGAAAGCAAAAATTTTGATTGCCATGCTACAGCTAATACTCGTTAAAGGTTATCCAAATGAAAATAATGAACTTCTGATGAACTAGAAAATTATTTGAACAAATATGTGCTATGGGCTATCTCTATCAGCAACCACAAGTGGATGTTCTCCAGATTTTCCATGGCAGCATTTATATTTTTGAACGAATTTAGAAATTGTTTTATGTAAATAATCAATTTATTGCGAATCGCATCCAATGAATGAAAAACTGCTACCATAATATCGAGATGATACAAAAGACTATTCTGCGAATACTACCATCAATGTTACTACAGCACTGGTATGAAAGACCCATCTCGTACATATCAGTCGCCTGCAAAGAGCTCAACGGAAAACCGTAAAGCGAGACGAGGAGTTACCTGATCGGCCGATTGTATAGAAGAAAAATTAAATCCACTTCAAGGGCATCCAGCGCACCATGGGGAGAGAAACGAACAGAGTAATCGCATTGTAATGGTTAATTGTCGGAGGTATGATTAATGAAGGGTGCGTCTTGACCAGGTACATTGTTATTCGTTAAAGAATGGGAATTAACGAGAACGAATTATGTTCATTTGTCTTTGGAGGATACCGAGCCATATGCAATGCATTACTGGGTATGTAATGTATGTGTTTCAGTATATACCGGGTGTTTCAAATTCGACTGTCGTTTAGAAAGTTTCGCGATTTCAATTATATCTGATTTTTACAAGTTTTAAAAGTACTTTCTAGCAACTTGTCTATGATATATCACAAGTTACCCTTTTTTTCACCAATATTTTCATAAAATTCTGAATTATTGAAGCAACATGCATTGATTTTTCAATCTGTCACATTTAAATGACACTTCTAAGCTCTAAAGCGATCTAAATGAACTACACCAATGAATAAAAACGCTATATAATGAAACTTCGTTATAAAAACCATACAAACAGTTTGAAAACTTCGGAAATGTATCTAAGTTTGTATCACTAGAAACAAAAACCGAAACTAAAACGAATTCAATGAATAAAATAATATTGAGATTGAATTATTATTTATATGATGGAATTGGCCGATCCTTGAATAAAATCCGTAACTAACGTATTCAAAAAACACTTTATTGTGAGATTTTTACTAAACAGTTTTACAAAAAAGCAACACGTGTTTCGCCATACAATGGCTTCTTCGAGCGTGTCTTTACTAACTACATTATACATATTCAATGCTTTATATACCTAATTTCACAATTTGAAGTACCTACATTTCAAGTACCTGAGTTTTACCTGAGTTTATAATGAAATAAATTACCCGTATTTTTAGTTACAAAATTACTTCTATGCTCTTTAATTCTCTGGGCAAAAGTTCTCCCTGTGGCAAGAGCCACAATTCATCTCTTGCCCAAAACTGTATATTGGCCATACAGGGAGAACATTTTTCCTAAGAACTAAAGAGCATAAGTAAAAGTAGTTTTTTTAATAAAAATACCAGTTCCACATTTGCAAACCACCTTTTAGTTTAGTTTAAAAGTCAATCTTCTAAAATATTTAAAAATCAATAGATCCAAGAATTCGGGTAATTTACTGAATGATCAATTAGAATTGAATAACTTCCTGTTACAAAATATTTTTTCAAATGTGGAAACTGGAACATAAGCACAGGTAATTTAATTCATTATAAACTCAGATACTTGAAATGTAGGTACTTCACATTGTGAAATTAGGATAGATAAAGCATTGAATATGTATAATGTAGTTAGTAAAGTCACGCCCGAATAATCCATTGTATAGCGAAACACGTGTGGCGTTTTTGTAAAACTGTTAAGTGAAAATCTCTCAATGAAGTGTTTTCTGAATACGTGAATTATTATTTTTTATGTACATTCTGAAAGAAGTAAATATTTTGCAGATAAATACGAGTAGGAACCCGGATGAATCAACAAGTCAAATTTCAAGTCAAATTTATAATTGGCTATTAGGGGGACTCGATTTGCCATTTTTGTCGAAATTTTGATTTAGACAGATTAAACCACTTTCACATATTATGGAATATTCGATAGAGACAATGAGCATATTTGGAGCATGAACAGTCCCTGACTATTTCGAAAAATTTGACCGCAAGTGCGATTCAGTGAAAATGGGAAAATGATGATTAATTGAAGTATTACCTACTGAGTGAACTGCATCTTGTCCCAAAAAGATGGTTCTTCACCTTACAACACAGCCTAGTATCGGATTACCTTACTGAGAGGTTCGCTAGAAGATGGATTTGAAATAAAATGCCAATGCGAAGTGGCCAGCCAGATCTCCGGATCTGTATTCTAGACACATTTTTATCGGGTACTTTGAAAAAAAGAATTTACGAACGGGGCGAATACAAAATTTTCGAGATCTTCACCTCAACATAATTAGGGAGAATGGGAGATTGCATAACTTGAAAATGAAGTAAAAATGTGTTCATAGGATCACGTAATTTGTTCAGATGATCTTAAAATATCTTTGTTACTTAAAAACTCATGTAGGCAGAATATTTTTTTGCTTTATGTTCGCGTCCAATGTCTTACAGAAAATTCAATGTTGATATCGTTTTTTCACATTACTATATACCATATAAGCAACATTTCTCTCTAATAATTTGAAATTATGTTCAATGAAGTTGTTGTCTCTCAGAATGTTCGGATACATTGTCGATGTTTTTGTAATGTATTTATAGATTATGTAATAGTTATATCAAATGGCAAAAACCTAATATTTATTGAAATGTAGAATAATGGAGGGGTAATTATGATTTTTTAATGATTTAGTGATTGATGTACACTCCAAATTTGGTTATTCTATGTATAATGGAACATGTACCTGAATACCGTTTCAAATATTTGTCCAGAATTACTTTCTTTGAATCACATATTTATTTATTTACCAATATAGGGGTTACAAACAGATTAATATAAATATTGAAACTCGTGTTGGAAGAAGCAGAATTTAGTTGATATCTGTTCCTTTTTCTGATTCACATTTTTTTCAAAAATGTTCATTAACCGTCAGTCTGTGAACTGTGCTTTTGTTTTGATTTTGACGGAATGTTCTACTCTATTAAAAGTTTTAACGATTTTTGTAACGAAAACACTGGCGTTCGATTAGAGTTTATATTGACAATGAAATGTTAATGTCCGAGTATATTTGGTTGATCCTGACAGTAACATATGGTTTTTACTTTAGTTCTTGGAAATTTCCAAACTACATATTAAAAGAAGTGACTGGAAATAATATCTAAATGTACTTACGCACTGTAACCTCCTTCGGGTCAACCTTGTTGACCTTTCCTTCCAAATCGTTGAGTTTCACCTTGATGGCGTCTGACCTCTTCTTGATGGTCTGAAGCTGCCCTCCCAGCTCCTCGAATATATCATTGGCGGCCAGCACCAAAGAGGCGAGCTGTCGAAGAGCATTGCACAAGGTGTTATTATTAACGGCCTCCAGCTCCTCATCATCCACTTTCGGCTTTCCATCTTCATCGAAGAGTTGAGTCCGGCTCAAGTGTTTGGGCTCAACGAAACGCTGCACGAAGGGCATTGCTCATTTCTCATTCACTCAAAACACATAGGTCACTGTCACACACAATATCACACCGTTGTTTATGTCACATGATTTTTGCGTTTTGAATCCTCGCGCCAAAACGCGCGCGCCGTGTTATGTCGAAGAAGGCCGCCGAACAATTGCCAGTGGGCCAAGTCCTCGTGGCTCGTGGGGAAACCGGTAAGCGTTTTTGTTCGCGCTGTTGTGTTTTTTGAAACTGGCGACTGCGCTTTCGTTGTAATTGTTGGCGATTCAGTTAGGGAGATCGCTTGTGTTGTGGCATCTCTGTGTCAGTAGCGGAAGTTTGGTATTCGATACTTGAGTATTCTGTGTCTAAGGTTTATTCAATATTGCGAAATTCCAAAAGAGGGTCAATTATGAAAATCAGTAACAAAAAATTCATATTCAAGAGAATTAAGGAGTAGGTGACATCTAGGTTTCATAATTGGAAAGTCAAATTGGAGGAAAGCATTGATTATTGCTGTATTCATTCACATAGGCCTAAAAATAGTTGATTTATTCATTTGTGATGTTCAGTTGAAGGAAGAATGTTTTCATTAGGAGACATTGATTACCGGAAAAAATTGTTTTCCCACCTCTCCATCACTATGAATGAGGTATCAAACTTTCGATGAATGGAAGAAAAAATTGAATACACCGTAGAAATCTATTTGCAAGAATGTGCAAATCAAGCACGAAAGTTGTTTTTTGAAACAGAGTAGGAGAAAAAATCTATCCAGAACAAAAACTTTCAAACATATGAATCACACCAAAATCATCATTTCTCAGTTTGTACCTCAAACATTCGTGATGGAATTGACAAAGGCATCATCATTATCATACACAGGAACGCTACACAATCTAATATATGAAAGGGTAATGATTATAAAATTGCAAATGCAATTTTCGAACGAATATCCTCAAAGTCTCTACATCCACATCAGCACCTTTTTCGATGACTTTCAAAAATTATTCACTCTATGCTTGTAAAAACACTCTGCCACTGTTTGTCACTGAAAGAGGTATATCAGATCTTGTTACAATGGCAGTTCTTAAAAACATCTATACTATGATCCTAGTCATAGAAATTTTGTTCAATCGAAAAGGGAATAATTTTTTAGGAAACATTGGTTTTTGAGGAGAAAACCTTTTAGTTTTCTATTTGAAAGAGATAGATGAGTAGAAAACGAAAAGGTTAATTCAAATAAAACTGATCTCTTCTACAAATATTTATATTTCAATTCAACAACAATTCATACATACATACATACATACAACTAGTAAATTCAATCCTAGCCAATTCTATGGCTAGGATTGAATTTACTAGTTGTATGAAAGTTTCTTATGAACTGTCATTGTGATGAAAGCAAGTGTGTCCTAGCAAGATAAATCCGTAATTTTTTATTGTAAAGAATGAGTGAATCGTAGTTATCCATGAAGGTACTGAGATTTACTGAATGCTCAGCAAATGCTTTTTGAATTTATGACTGAATAATTTTCTGGGTAAATTCAAAAGTGAACTATCAAGTTTGTAGATTTCATTGATGAATGATGCGACATTGTTTGATACATTTGTCTTACTAAATATTAAAGTTAGATACTGATTTTTTGGGATTTACTTTCAGACCGTCATCAGTTGAAATTTCATATGCCTAACGAACTAACATCATCATTGATAAGCTCTACAGATAACTTGAGATCTGTTAGATTAGAAGAATGATATATTTGAGTAATGTCCGCATAAAGATGATAGCTACAATATCTTAAAGCATTCACAAAATTTGCAGTATATAGATAATGTAGAATGAGTTCCCCAGAGGGACTCCTGAAAGTTACTTTCGACAAGTTGACTCTTCATCATCCAGTTTTATCAAGTAAGTAAGTATGAAGTAATTAACATAATTGGCAAATATTTGCCTATCAATCGAATTGATACGGTAAAGAAATATTGATATTTTCAATGATGATTCCGTTAATCACGTCTCTGAGAACGACAACCCTCAAAAAATGAAACTTATGGAAGCTATTGATTAACGAGGTCTTACTTTCTAACGTGCGATACTTACAAGAAATTTATTACAAAAACGGAACTTGGGAATCAAACTAAAAGATTCAGCTTGATGAAATCCGCACTTATTTATGGAATTGATTCTGATATAAACGATACAGTGGCTGTCGCAATACTTTGTCATTTCTAAGGCCTTCAACTGCCGTTTTGGAAATTATTTAAAAAACTCCATTATGAGTACAGAGAAATCATTCATGAATGCTTTGATTTTTTCTTTTCAGAGCGTAATCAATCAAATGACAGAAATATCGAATCTATTGAATAAGAGAAGATTAATTCAAACTTATATTAACGAAAACTTGGATAACTTGAATTTTACTAACATTTCTAGTTCATGTCTGGCAAGGAGGAATGGAGAAGAATCGAAAGAATAGATTAAAATAAACTACAAAGCAATTACTTCTGTAGAATAATATTATCGATACGCCTTCTGGAGAAAAAAGGACTGTAGTACTTGACGTCTCTGATAACGTTGAAAAACTCATACTTATATTGTGGATACAGAGCCGAATTTTTTGAAAAGGGTAGGTATTATTTTTTGAACGAAAAGGTTAAATAACATTCCATCATATCTTTTATAGTTTTGGGTATATTTCAATTGTTATATTTTATGTCTAGATTATGAATTAAAATGCGAGTAGCTGCTACACGAAGTAGCTATGTAGTTTCCCAGATATTTCTATTTTTATATAACTCGAATTTTTGAGAAATGGGTTGGTTCTACAAAGAAACCAAGACTATTCAAATCAAACAAAGAAGAGTGGCTCCTATTTTATCGTACCTACTAACGATAGTTCCGGAAACACATTATTCACAAAACTGAGGTCAAATGAAAATTTTCCAATAGAATTTGCTGAAACTTTTCAGGAATTATTTGTTTCTACACGATAAAAATATAATAGTAAGTAATAAATCAGCAAGCCACAATTTAATCAACATACGTGCCTTTCCAGTGTCCAACGAATTATCTCCATAAAATATAAGGAAGCCATATTTCAAATATCAGTTGGTGTTCCTGAATTGTTGGAATTCCTAAAGGGTTTCCACATATCCACAACGACGTTCTTTGTATCAGGATATCATAAGAGAGTCGGGGAAATATATACTATTCAACAGTTTGTGAATCGCAGATCTTTCTACAGAGATGAGCTCCTGACAAAGTATCTGTTTCAGTGTTACGAGAGATAATCAATCAATCATTGGGGAAATTGTTAATTTTACTGATTTTGATTCATAGAATTTAGGTATTAAAAAATTGATTAACGTTAGTTGGCAGGTAAATTAACTATATATTTATTGTATGTATCCCGTTCTTTTCATGTTTGTTATTTTCCAGTGTTCTCTTGAACAAAATGATAAGAATTTTTTCTGTCACTAAATTTGACCCTTAAAATTCTAATCAATGACTCAAATTTGTGGGTTGATAGTTTCAGACTTTCCGAGAGGTGATTGATTCACTTCTTCAACTCCATAAGAAAGAGTTCAAGGGAGAAAATTCTGGAAAGTGACTCAAATATGTAATTGAAATTAGTGAGTCAGTTAATTAACATAATCAGTAGGTATATAATAAAATAAAGTAGAAGGAAGAAGAAGAAGGAACCTCGCAAGCCGCCATTACGAGATAAGTTCGGTAAACTTAACTTTTATTATCAGGAAAACATGAAAGGCGAGAATTATGTATTCAAACGTAGTGCCAGAAAAAAAGCAGAAATATTTATTTGATTTATATTTTCAACTGAAATGGAATTTAATTGATTACGATGATAACTACATGAGTGAATTTGAACGAATGATTATTTGTTTACCAAAGAATTCCAATTTATGTATCAATATTGATTATGGATTTGCCTGCACTTTCGATTGATGAGTATACGTTTATATTATATTCATGGCAATTTATAAAAACTACTGTTATTTTGCAGACGTTGGCACTCTTCGAATTATACTGATGCGCAAAAAGTGTGCTTCAATAATTGTGCAACCAATTTTGACCCTTAATCATTACTTATTGTATGAACTTAGATAGGTTTCTATTTAAATGTATCGGTACATTCGGAAAATACAACAAAAATGTTATTTTCGTTTATGTTTTATTATCTTTTCTTCCTTAGTTAAGCGCATTAGACAAAAAATACATAATAAAAAAATGTTATGTCCAAAATAGTCATCACGTTCTATCATTCTATAATAGATAGTGTAGATATTTATGAAAAACTCTAAATTTGCAGTATTTGTTTCTAGTACTTTTAAATATGCATTAGATACAACATACATTCGAATATGAATAAAAACAAAACAAAGTATTATTAGGTTGTTTCAAAAGTTTTGTCCGTTTTTATGAGTCTACTTTGAACTGTATCGCAACGAATACTTATTCAGTGATCGGGATTCGATGAAGTCGACGAAGGTAGCTTTTGCCTGGTTCTGATTGGCTAAGGTTCTACCGGTGGGAAAGTCATCGAAGTAGTTGAAAAGATGGTAGTCAATTGGAGAAACGTCTGGGGAGTATGGTGGGTGAAGTCGAATTTTGATGCTCAATTGTCGTGGAGCATGCAGGATCGGACCTCTTCTAATGACTAGTTCCGGCTGCTGGTGACGCAATTTTCAGTATATTTCGTCAATTTACTCAGTTATAGTGAATGACACAGTCTTTTTTTGTTGGGTTTTTGCCTTTGGGAACTACAGTCGAAGTAACTGATATAGTAATTCTTAAAGCTATGGGCGAACTCAATGGCCAAAAAAATCAATACAAAGAAATAATGCCGCTACGAATTAGTCCACGTGGACTGAAGAACTAGCGGCTCGTATTGGATAATTTTTACTAACCGAGTTTTATGATTGGCTGAAGAGTCATAAAATTATTTGAAGTCATGTTATGGTGACCAATAGAATGTAGCGATGAGTACCGCCGTTGTGTCGTCAATGTTCA